ACTTTCAAGGACAGTAAGTCGTTGGCAAATTTATATAATACTCTTGTAACACCTGTTTTGCAAATTCCAGTAACATTTGAATCAGTGAAACAGACCACAAACACATGGGCAACAAACTTTTTACACAGCAAACAAACAGATTTGAGAAAAATCACCAAAAATTCACTCTACTAAAGCCTTTTTATTACGAAGAGCAGATTTCCAGCCTTCATACAAGTAACCATATGAACAAAAAGGCAGCAGATTTCAATTCACACCATCAAAGAGCACACAAAGACTACTCTCAATTTTTTTCATAACACACAGACAATAAATAACAAAGTTAGAGGAGTTTCAAATTCCAAAAATTGTCATTTTTGGCGAAAAGTAAAAATCGTCTGAATTTTCAATAGAAATATCAGTTTATAATATAAAAAATGTAACGAATAGAGATAAAAAGCTGAAACTTGGTGTACTTACTTATGTAGTTTTGTCCAAGGAATTCATTTCTGGCATTAGTTTTTTCATAGGGCCATTAAATTTATTACTACCACACACATCCCATTCATAGAAAGCATTAATATAATAATAATAATTTATAAAGGGGCTCCATCCCATAGAATATACGCTCAGAGTGCTCTATATTGATAAATGATCACTAAGCATAATAATACTTCATTCACATAAGGTAAAACATTTCACATTCACACAAGAAAACCAGTTCAAGCAGACAAAGAAGAACTTTCTCAATCATACATTAAAATAATGCATCCTTTGGACAGCAGTGAAAACAAAACATATCACTGATCACGTGTTAATTTGGGCCACTTGCCATTTCTTCAGTCTCTCACACAAGATACCAGACATAACAGAACTGCAATAGAAGTCAAGTTTTGACAGTTTATGTGGCGTCGGTGGCCTAGTGGTTAGGCTCTCGGACTCGCAACCATAAGGTCATGGGTTCGAATCCCGTCAAAGGCTCGACGTTGTGTCCTTGGGAAAGGCACTTAACACGAATTTTCCTCACTTCACCCAGGTGGGAATGGGTACCCGGCTAAAGACAGCGAAAGATCTTGTCAGTTTGTTAGTGTTTGAGCGCTTAATCGGCTGCTTGCACTGTATGCTTCCCGGGAAGCTGAGAATGTTTCGGAGTGTTCTATGGTCTGCTGGGGTAATAATATAGTGTAAAGCGCATAGAGCCTGCTGCTGAGCGGGGATATGCGCTATACAAATGCTATCTATTATTATTATTATTATTATTATTACAAGACAAGAGAGATAGAGAACATGCATGAATGCGATATATTGATCAATGAAACAAGGTCCATCGTATTGATTCTTCTGGTACACATACATTGATTTTCTAAGGCAATGGCAACAGAAACAGGAATGCAACTGGATGGTGGGGACAAATAATTCTCAACATTCTGTAAGTGAAATCGAGTGACACCAAGAGAATTCAGCGGGTCAGGCAGACGCAAGAAGTAATACTCCTGTGTAAGGAACTCTATTACCCTGTCACTCCGTTTCTTTAAGGACTCTTTTAGAGTTGATGTCATCTGGTAGGTGACCTTGCTTTCCGTCACATGACACGTGTGTGGAACTAGCCTCTCAAGTAAGGACCTTAGCTGTGAAAACATAGAAGTAGAAGAGAAAGAGGAGAGTTAGCCAGAGAGCAACAAATGTCCTGGTACCGGTAAAGAAATTAAATTTAAAAATAGAAAAAAGTGAAACAGTCTTACATATTACTTTGAGTTTGACTTCCCTCTTCGACACAAATAGTTAGTAAGGTCATTTAAGAGACAAGCACCGACATTACATCTCTCTGAGAAAGGACATTCCTCTCCACATTGAAAGTTCCAGGCCCAAAGAGGCGGCTCAAGCACGGGAGGCTTTCCTTCTTCTTATCTTACAGTTGTACAAACGTATAATCTCTTTGGGTATAAAGATATTGCCCACCTTCCTATTTCATCCACAGGAGGATCAAAAATAATATTACTACACATCTGTGTACAAGTATGAAATTTCGACAAAATTCTTTGTTACTATGATGATTTTATGGCACTATCGACACTATTTGGTAATTTCAGTGCCTGGCAGCATAGCAGATTAGAACAATAGTAACACAAAAACAAAGAAGTAGAAAGAACAGACCACACCAGAGCGCCCACCAGCCATCCACTATCAAGTTGTGTTTGAAGTCAAAACAAACGTGCTCACCTTTCTGAAACTGTAGGCAATTCCATTATTTTCCATGTCTTGTTTCAAGAACAATAGCTGCAACAGCACAGTCTTCACTTCTGGAAAGTCTGGACGCCTTCCCTTCCCTCGCATGAACACGTGCCTCTTCATTCAGTCCTTGATAAACTTCATCCTCCGTGAGGGAAAATGCAGTGTAAACGAGTTTGAGTTCTGAGTGCCAGTTTAAAATTCCTCATCAACACAAAAGGAGACGGCAACATAGTATGCCAAGCTATGAATGAGCATTGTGCTGTGGTATAAATTTATAATCCCCCCCCCC